TTGAGTTATTCATTTCGAGATATCAATAAACCACCTTGAAATTAATAGATTATTTTTATTAGACACTGCAGAAAACTTAACATTACAATTATCTTCAATTTAAACATAGAATAAAAGCAGAAGGCTTTCTTTCGGGCTAAACAACAGATAAAAAATTCCGTTAAAATAGAAACTATTACATAATGTAAAAGACATTAGGGCGTAGGTGTGAGCGTGTATCTTTCTGACGAAAAGAACAATATCCACACGCACACACACGTCTGTACAACCATACCCACACACATGCACACATTACACCCTGATCTTTGCATATGCACTGTATTGTCGGCAAAAAGATTTTTAAAAGGTTGATGAATGATTATGGTGAAATTGGGTCAGGAACTCACAACTTACATAGTGCACGAGCGATAAACGAAAACAAAAATGATGAATTAGTCGTATTCAATGTTAAAGAAGAATGGGTTCCTCTATGTAAGTTTCTGGACGTACCAGTACCAAAAGACGTTCCATTTCCGATTGTGAACGAGGGTGTGGGTATGTGGGTGTGGGAGAGTGTGGGTGTGGGTGTGGGTGTGGGTGTGGGTGTGGGTGTGGGTGTGGACGGGTGGGTGGGTGTGGGTGTGATCGAGGGAGGACGACACATCCGCGCCCAATCCCACCCACACACCCACACCCACACCCTAGCCACACCCACCCACACCACACCCTTATTTCTTCTCTTTTCCTCTTATTAATTTATACTTAGAAAAAATTTGCATTGTTTTTTATAGTTCAGAATTATGTTCCTATGTCACCACTTCCATTTGAAGTTGTTGGTCGAAATATAATGTGTTTAGTGATTGAAGGTTTTGTCTTTTTTATATTTGCCATACTTATTCAATATTGATTTTTTATTCCTGATCAGTAAGAATATTACATGAGAATCTATTTTTAAAGAATTTCATTATTATTAGTGGTTGTATTTGTACACCGAAAGATTTAATATCGTTGAATGAAGATGATGATGTTGCAACTGAACGAAAAATAATTTATTCGGATCGTGATAACATAAATTGTGATATTTTACGTGTAATCGATTTAGTTAAAGTATGAATATAAAAATCAAAAGAATGTTTGTTTATTTTCTTATTCATAGGTATATGGATGGAGATTCGGAAAAAAATTTATAGCTGTTAAACAAACATGTATTGGTGTTAAACAAGGTGAATGTTTTGGTTAACTGGGTATTAATGGTTCAGGCAAATCGACAACATTTAAAATGTTAACTGGAGAAATTTCAATGACAAATGGAAATGCATTTGTCAATAATTATAGTGTTATTAAACAATTAGATTCTGTTCATCAAAATTTAGGGTAAAACATAAACAAAACAAACAAGAATATTCATTTTTATTTGATTGAATACGTTTGCTTTTATTTTTAGTTATTGTCCACAATTTGATGCACTTGATTCTTTATTAACAGCACGCGAACATCTTTATTTTTATGCTCGTTTACGTGGAATCAAGAGAAAGAATATTCCATTTGTAAGTCTAGAAACATTGAATTACCATGAAACTTTGAACATATATTACCCTTATGAAAGAACATTTATGATAAAGATTTCAACCACCTATTCTGATGTAATACGAATCAAATTAGGGTCGAAAAATAGCTTATCATGACTATCGATGGCTCAGTAGCTATTTAGAAAAAGAGAGATGCATGATGTTATTCAAATCAGTAATAGACGGAAAATAAGTATCGAATAGAATCTCGCGGAGTAATATATAGAACACACCAAGACTCATCTACACAACCTTAGTTAGTAGCTTATACAATAGTTAAGAAAAATAGATTGTTTTCAAGACAAATGATACATTAATTGTCTTTAACTGGATTATTCAATAGCATCAGATTCAGCATTGAGCTATCTTTATCATCATTTTTCACAACTGACCATACCCCCGTCTAAGTTCTGTACTACTTCAGATGCTTTGAATAATCAGTATGGAACTCAATCACCAAAACAGAGATTATGGACCCTCAGTATATTCATACAAGAGCTAAAATGAGTTACCTTGTTCTTCTGTCAGAGATACGCAATGACCCTTTACGAGATATATTCTGACTCGTAAAAGACCGAAAGACAGTTGTTTCGATCTGAAATTTTGCCCATAAGTAGGATTCATAGTTCTGAACTCATCCTGAAATTTTTACGCAAAACGGATTATTTCTTGTTAAGATATTTGATATCCAAAGAAATCGGCCGAATTTTGCAAAAACTTGTCCAACACTGATATTTTTGCAATATTCCGCATCTCTAAAAGAAAACAATCTTTGTGGCTGAAAATCTCAGGACACTCTAAGTACCAATAGAGCTATATTTGAGCAAAGTTTCAAATCAAAACTCCTTTGTTTCGATTTTTTTATGAAACTGAATATCTCATCCAAGGAACATTTTCTTTGTGATGGTATTATTTACCAGTAGATCGGTTAAAAACTAACGCAATGATTTCATCAGATACCTTGATGCTATATTTAAGGATATTCTGTAATATAAATAAGGCTGGTTGTTGCCTTTATAATTAAACAAAATTTTAGGAAAAACATTATCAGTCGTAAAAGATCTATTATTTCATCTGATACTCCCTTTATGATTATATTTTGACCTCAGTGTGGCCTCTAAGATCCTCTTAGTCCAGTAAAAAAATATTCATTTCTTTATACAAGGTCTTGCTAAAGTTTTTATTGCAGTTATTCAAATGTTTCTTGGAAGGGACATTCGGCTTTTAAAGGTTAAATATGTTCATATTAAAATTAGCATGAATACTTTACTTATAGACGTAAGCTCTAAACACCTCTTACAGATGAACCTATAACTATCATAGATTCATTTTTAGATTACCGAACGTTTATTAAAACGACTTGATCTTACACTCTGGGCTGATAGACCAGTAAAACAATATTCTAGTGGTAATAAACGTAAATTATCAACAGCTGTATCACTTATAGGTAATCCACCAATCGTATTTATGGGTGTAAGTTTAAAAATAAACTATTTTCTATAGAAATAATAATCATTATTAGGAAGCAATAAGTTGAATGGATGCACGTGCAAAAAGATTTCTATGTAATTTTATATCAACATTAATTCGTAAAAATCATAAATCGGTGGTAATAACATCCCATTCAATGGAAGAATGTGAAACATTATGCAATCGTATAAAAACTTAATCTTGTTTCTTTATAAATGTTTTGATCGTTTTTATTTTTAAGTCTTGCTATAATGGTTAATGGAGAATTCAAATGTCTTGATAGTGTACAACATTTAAAAACAAAGTAAAATTTGATTTATTTTTCAATACTTTTTTTTTCTAGCAAGTTTTTATGATATTTTTTAAAGACTTGGTCATGGTTATAGTATATTTGTTCCATCATATGTTACTAATGGTACGAAAAATACTATCAATTATATAAAAGAACGTATATCAGAAGCTGATATTAAAGAAGAACATGATAAAATGATACATTTTTGTGTATCAGCAAATGTTCAATTATGTCAGTTGTTTGGTGTTTTTGAAAAAGCATGAGAAGAATTGGGAAATATAATTGCAGATTATACAGTTACACAAGTAACACTTGATGATGTATTTGTTAATTTTGCTAAAATACAAGAAGAAAATCAATTATCAAAAGATATTTCTATTAATAATGAAGACAATTGTTTAAAAAAGAATTTCCTATATAAATTATTTTATAGGAAAGACAGAAATATTATTGGTAAGCTAAGTAAAAAATTCAACTTTTTCAATGGACTATCAATATTTATATGTATTTTAAAAAATCAACCGAATTCTAATGCACTATTAGATGGTATATATTCATACTATTTTATGGTTAACTTGTTTCGATTTGATCTAATTCAAATATCGTTTTTTTTCCATTGATAATTTGAAGACTTTCATTATCTAAATCTTTTTGGATTGTTTGCCAACGAAATAATCGAGTTTACTCTATTTATTTTAGGCATGTAATAAATTCGGTCAACCACAATTATTTAGACTGTTTTTCTTTGATAAAATTCATAATACAGATGAGGGTGTGGAATGAATGTAGATGTATAATAGTTATCACAATACCGTTGGTATTTCCATGTTACTGCTACTGATCTTATCGAGTGGCACAAGCATCAGCTTGAGAGATTCAGCGAAAAATCAAATCAAAGCATGACACTACAAATCTAAAAGGTTAAAGCAAGTAGAGTGTGGGGGCACTAGTACACTTCGTCGCAATCAGTTCGTTCGATATAAAGAATAAAATGTATTAATTGAATTAACTGATGTAGTTCAATCTGTTAAACATACATGATGAATAGAAAATATGTTTTAAGAAAAAAATAATTTAGTTCTTGAAAAAATTGCGTGAAAGTTCTTCAGTTAAAGTAATTACAAACTATCTGCTATTAAATGAAAATCAACTGAAGTCTTTTATGGAAATTTTGTTTTAAGAAAGGCTAAGAAGAAATGAAGGTAAAATTCTCTTTCGTTATGTGTATGCTTGGTTTAGTTGTTTTCTGGGACAATTTTCTGTGATTTGAAAAACTGCCACATCAATGAATGAAGAGATTTTGAAAATTTTCGATGGTGCCGACGTCAAAAAAAAATCTTATCACATTTTAAAACATTTGAGTATTCTTTATATATAATTTTTTAGAGATAAACATTTTATTTTAAATAAATTATCGAATTGAGAAATTAGGGTGTGGATGAAGACAAGATTAATCCACGCCCATCCACTCACTCACACACACATCTCATCGAGATTTATCCGTTGATGTGTGTATGGAACTTGGAGATTAAATCTGGGCGAATTGTGTCAGGTGGAAAGTCAAAAATGGAGGAATTTTGCGCGAATCAGCAAACTTAGGTATGACTGAATATTTCAAAATGGCTCAAAAGATGTCCATTGAGTAGAGCTCGTCGAGGTCTATCTGTTAATATGAGTCTCGAAATTGGAGACTGATTCTGGGCGAATCACAACGCATTTTTCAAGATTTTACTAGTTTTCCGATGGTTTTTCGGTCATGGTGGGCAAAGGTTTCATTCAATTGAACAAAGATGGTGTGAATCTGATAGAACACGTAGAGTTCTACTTGGAGACTAATTTATAGCGAATCCATTCATGAAATACTCGAATCCTGACCTGGAATATTCTACGTGTAAAAACAAGAATTTGAACAAGACAAATACAATTCTTATTGAATGAGCTTTATTTTGAATAAAAAAAAATATCTATTGAATAATTGTTTTTTTCATAACCTAAAGAAAATCTATAGAATGTTACAAGCAAAAAAATGACGCAAATATTCGAGTCAAATACTATACCATCTTCATTTCTAAAGGTTTTTATCTCTGAATCTGAAAACTTAAAAAATGTGAACATGATATATCTGTCACATCAAGAAATTTACGTTTAATTCATATTGACAAAAAGTTAATATATTTTTTCTCAGAGAGAACATTTTTAAAAACTTCCAATAGATGAATATAAAAATTTCAGTCGAATTCATTATAATTTTAAAAAGTGAATGAAAACTGACATATTATTCTCCAATACTGATAGCATAAATGAAGAATTTTTATATACATTTAACTCATAAGGAGTGATATAGAGAGTATAAATTTATCAAAAGATATGAGCGATTGACTCTAACTGAATATATTCATTTGAACAATAAAGTGTAAACTTTCATGTAAATCCCCGATATTATAATATCTATTTTTTTTTTGAGTCTTCTTTTCCAATTTATTTTTGTTTTATAAAATCATATGTTAGTTTACCTATTGTTTTCGAACGATTTTGAAGAAGTCGATGAAGCCGAAATTATTCGAGACGTCCAGCATCGTCAAAATGATTTTATCGAAAAAGAGTAATTGAAATCATCTGTTGCTTCGATCGGAAATTCAAACACATAATACCGATACAATAACAGAATTGCATATCATTCGTCGACGACATATTGATCTTAGCACTATAAGCTTCCACAGTTTAACAATTAGGCATAAGTTATGATTTCATTCAATACCGATAAATCAATAAAAAAATTGTCTCTTCGTAACTTGATAAAAATGTCATCAATCAGTAATACTATCTTTGATGGATTTTTTTCTCAATCGATACACACTCGCCAGTCTCTCGCAGAAACATAGTCAGAGGCATGCAAAGGATGTCTGGGTGCACCCTTGATCCGAAATGCTTAGAAGGAGTACGAGTAAAAAGCTAGTTTTAAGAAATAGACATATATTTTGCTGTGGGTGTGCGTCCTTTTTGGAAAATTTTCGGAAACGTCACTGATCTCTTGAAATCTTTCTCCCATTCAACAATTACAAGATTATGCGAGATTTGAATCGAATTTTTGTGAAATAAAATCCAAACTTGAATCGACTGAAATCTTCCAACTCAACTCTAATCTGAAATTTTTTCACTGGGTGTAGACAGAAGCTTTAAGAAGGAGATCGATCTTATAAAATATATACAAGACCTCTTACTTTTGATTCCAAAAAAAAAATATTAACTGAAAAAAGCTGATCTCTCTTAATAATTGTTCTTTCTCTATTTTGTTGTTATCTATATATCTTAGTTTATTTATTATATCTGTTCAATATATACAGTACTGATCAAAAATATAGGAACACTTTATTTTTGGTTTTTTTCTATAATACTAAACAGTTAGCTCAAATCCAAATAGTGATTCTGATAACCCATGAAGTTTCATTAATGAACCATGATAGCAAGATTTCTAGAAGATCAAAAATCATATCTTTCAAGTCCGACAAGATGTTATTGAAATAATTTTTCGACAATATCATCTTAAAGAGCCTAAAATTCTGAAGAAAATGATGGGTCACCGCACTTTCTACGACCTTCCATTAAAAAGTTACAAGCATAACAAAAAACAAAAAGAATCGGAATTTATCAAAAAAAATCGATGAAAATCAACTAAAACATCAGTTCTTTTTGTTATGCTTGTAACTTTTTAATGGAAGGTCGTAGAAAGTGCGGTGACCCATCATTTTCTTCAGAATTTTGGGCTCTTTAAGATGGTATTGTCGAAAAATTATTTTAATAACATCCTGCCGGACTTGAAAGATATGATTTTTGATCTTCTAGAAATCTTGCTATCATGGTTCATTAGTGAAACTCTGTTATCAAGTGTATTAAATATGAAACTTCATTGGTTATCACAATCACTATTTGGATTTGAACTAACTGTTTAGTATTATAGAAAAAAAACAAAAATAAAGTGGTCCTATGTTTTTTATCAGTACTGTATATCGTTCATATTTCACATCTCTATGTTTGTTATGAAAATTCGTCGACAAAGTATTATGTCGATCAATGATATGATTATCCAATAACTATTAGAAATGAAAGAATGAAATTCGTCACGAGGAAAATTGTTTCTTCTTAATGATATTTTTCCTTTGTTCACGCATATATAAGTTAATTGATCATGTGAAGATATTCGGCAAGGTTACTGACCAGTCATTTGAGAAAAAACATATATACACGTAATAGACTAATTCGACAGCTGTGTGCATTCGTTTTTCTTTTCTATTCATATTCAGTATGAATAGAATCATCATTTTATTATGTAATATAAATGACTGAGTTGTTTGTTTTTCTTCATTTGAATAAAATTTCAAGAATGAGCGTGAACTTTTCATTAGTATTTATGAAGTTAATGATATTAATTTTTTTTTTGTTTTTAGATAACTATGTCTTTCCTTTTGAATCGATTTCCAATTGAAATTTTTCATATGATTTTCGATTATTTTTGGTGTCATGAAATTCTTCATTCATTTTTTGATACAAGTAATTACTTGAATGATATTCTATCAAACTATGATAGATATAGAATTAATGGCCAATCAATTGCTAAATCTGATTTTGATTTCATATGTCATTTTATTCTACCAAATCAAATAATTTCATTAATATTGTCCGATGAAAAAGAAACACCATATCAATCTGAATTATTTTTCTCAGATTTTCAAATTGGTTATTATACTCGTTTACGAGCATTAAAATTAATTGGCTTAAACGATGATGGCGAAGAAATATTTATGAATTTACATCATGTTCAAAGTCTTGTTTCTCTTGAAATTAACATTCGAATTGATCTTCCATTTATCAAACAATTACCACCATTAAAAAAATTAATTATTAATATACCATCAAATATACAATTTGATATTCTGCCATCAATTATTACAGTATCATTCAAATATTTACAAGATTTTTCTTTATCTTATTGTACTCTTACGGCATTACAACACTTCTTTAGTCAAATGCCTCAGCTTAAATCATTTAAAACATCTTTATTATTTTTCAATTCTGAAGAACTCAATGTATTATCTCATATTCATCAAGTACAACCAACACCAATTAATCTCATTTCGTTTTCATTGTCAATAAAGGCACCTTGTAAGTTTTAGAATTATTTATAAAAAAATAATATCAAAATTTTAATTTTTATTGCTTTGTTTTTTTGGTCAAACAATAACACATAGTCATATTGAACAACTACTTGTTTCATTTCAACATTTACAACGATTAGAATTAATCATTGAAAGTTTAGTCGAAAATCGATTACTTAATGCTAATCGATGGGAAAAATTTATTATTGAACATTTACCAAAATTAATAAATTTTGATTTTAAATTTTTTTCTGGAAATATCAATGATAAAGTACTCAATCGATATCGTTCTTCATTTTGGCTAAATAAACATTGGTATGTTGCAATTAATTTAAATCTTTCATTACTTTTTACAGTACCTTATTTTGCTCCAACTTCAATGAATGATTCATGTGAACCAATATCATCAAATTGTACAACATTACCTATTGCGCAACATAATATTTTTTATGATCGTATTATTGCATTAACATATAAATTAGATGAATGGAATTTACCTTATCGTTATATTAATGTTAAAGAACTTACATTCAATGATCCTTATATGCATGAAAATATTTATAATTCATCAAAAGTAGAATCATTTATTGTAAATACATCGGATTGGTTACTTGATAAAATTATTCTATTAATTAAAGAAGAGATGCCTTCAGTTAATTATCTTCGTTTAAATTGTACTCAACCTAATGTAAAATATAAATATTTTTCTGGTATTTCATTATCACAAATTCGAACATTATCTTTACCTCAATATGGACGATATAAAGAAAAAACTAATTTTTATTGGTGGAAACTTTTTCCATGTGTTGAAAGATTAATTGTTTCGATTAATTCAAAAAAACAAATTCCATTATTAATTGATCATTTCAAGAAGATGATTAGTGGTTTTTTTGTTATTCATAATGATTACATTGATATGTATGATCGAATTAAAATAACAAGTCAATGGTTGAAGAAAAATACATCTCGATTAAAAAGAAAAAATGAACATGAATTTGTATGTCAAATTAATGATCAATTTGCTTTTTCATTAGCTTTATGGATTAGTGAAGATTTTGAAATAAATGAATGAATATTCAACTTGAATGTAAACATTATTAGTTATTCTATGGAACTCGAAAAAAAAAAATTAAACATTTGATTTGTAAATCTATCTTTTTTGTTCATGAAAAATAAAACATTGATTCATATTCAAAAGCTTAAACTAAATTATAAAAGTTTATATGTTTGACAGTTTAGTTTGAAAATGCCAGTTTATATTGTATGTGATTCGAATCAAATCAGATAATACAAAATGTGAGTTTTACATAGTGAAGAAATTATCGAAATGTTCTGTGAAATGAATAATCAAGTATGATTGGGTGTGGGTGTGTTTCCACCTATACCCATTCCCACACTCTCATACCCAATTCGACTGTTTTTATTTTTATTTAGATTTTCATTTATGTGGATATCTTTCGAGTGAATCTGATATTAGAAAAGTTTTGTTATTTTTGATTATCGTTTTTTCATGTTAGTATTATGTTGTGGATTTCGAGTATTTCATATTATGAAATTGATGATATTGACAATCTTAGTTGATTAGCCCTACTAGTCGTTATTGTGATAGGTAAAAGAAAGATCATATTATCAATATGTTAACTGTTAATAAAATTGTACAGCAATTTATTTCTGTTATGTGTAAATGAGACGATCTCAAACTTTCCTCATTTTTCAACAAGCAAAATGTTGTATATCTACTTGTATAACAACATTTCTTTTTTATGACATTTTCCTTCGTTATTTACCATTTCAATTCAAAATTATTTTTATGCTGAATATGGTTTTTATACAACACGTAAGTTGGAGATGATCATTTTTATTCTTCTTTTGTTAGAAGTGAACTTGCTCGATATATTATAATCTTAAAATGATATTTGTTTTTACTAATTGTCTCAATTTAAAAAGAAATTCAAGTCGCATTGAAATATTTATTGAATGAGCCTTAGTAAGAACATTGAGTATTTGAATGTTATGAGAAGTCTAGCACTTGTTGAGAGAAAAGTTTACAGTAACAGCCAATTGTATGTTTGTAATTAACAAATCATCTAATGATGTATTAGAAGGTTTCAAGTATTGAATTCTTTTTTAAAAATTTCACAGTATAATAGATGATCACAGCTTGAAAAAACTTTGCTGGATGATCATATTTCCATAAGGATAAGTTGTATTTATCGTTCATAGTTCTACAAAAATACAAGAATTAACGGTTATTTTAGCGCAGGTCTGTTATTGTTATCATGTACTTAATAAATATTGTTTGTAATTATTCATAGATGTAAACAAAGGAATTTCTATATGAATATATATTAATAGAAATCTTTCGTTAGATTTTGGTTTTTCTGTCAATAAAAACTTTGAAGATCAAGATAAAAGAATTTTGTATGTCATTTATTTGATTCAAACAATTTTGGTTAAGAATATTGTGTCTTTATCTGTGTTAAGTAAAACAATTCTAACATAAAAGAATTGAATTTTAATACATCAAATGAGGAAATTTTCGTTGAGATACCAAATTTTTAGGAGATTTCCCATGGAATCTATATATACAATGTTCATCGTGTGTGTGTTTGGGCTAGGCAAAGATTAAAGGCTAAACGTCAAAAAGCCTATAAAGGCCACTATCTTGAGACACTCGTACGTTCTTAGGCACTATTATATCAGGGTACTCATAGGTTGTCTAGGGAGCAAGGCTATAAGACTGCAGAGCTCTCTGTCTATGTACATAATATCGGGTATCTGTATGTCTGTTACCGAATGAAAAGTTGAACGTCTCAGATTCTAGGTTAAAGGAGAAAACATCTATGCAGTATGCACGAGCTCTTGCTAGTATAATATATTCAGCAAAGCCATTTTTTATCGAATTTTCATTTGAAACTCTGTCGGCATGAAGATTTCAGGTAGATTAGACTATATTGAAAATGTCAATATTTTTAAACGTACTCTTTAACAGATATCAGAGATTTTTATGGCGGCAGCATTATTTTTGAAGGACATTTCAAAATTGTGTGAATTTAATAGATATGTACCAATATTTCTAGTTAAATACAGTCACAGCAGTGAAAATCAATACAGTATTTTGAAAATTATCACGACAGCGACCTGATAGCTGTTCTTCATTTTGATGCAGCGACCAATTTTCAATCACGATGGACATCTCTGGTAGATATATACTTTTCAATATTATCGTGTTGTCGATAATATCCAATGAGAACGGTTATATTTGACAAATTTATATCTATTAAAAATTGTATTCGAAGATACTGAAGTATTGTATCTAGTTGAAACATAGCTGTTGACATAGTTTAAAATGAAAATTGAAAAATAGACTCTTTACTAAATATCTTAGGTTCTATCGCATAATTCTTTAGAAATTGAATATCTTCAAAAAAAGAAAACATTTGAGGAAATGAATTCTTTTTCATATCTCATTAAGGTCTAATTCTCATACCACTTTCATTTAATTTTATGCATTTTGTTTTTTGTTTCTGGTTATCTGACAGATTTCCACTAGATCTTAGGCTATATCAGATGATCAATTAAAGACAATTTTGAATATCAAAGTAAATATGATATTCGAGTACATTGCAATTGTACCTCGGAGTTGCATGAGATAATCATTATTTATGTCATAGTGTTTATTAGAAATGTAAGAAAGACTACTCTTTCAAGAGATGAGCTGTATTTGTAGAAAATTAAGATCGTCTTTCGCTTGTCTACGTCTATAATCGTTTTTCTCTTACTAGATCTTATTTACTTATATAGATCGAGATATTCTTTCAGATAGATATTATGCGAAATAATTCAATAACAATAGATGAATGTTTATGAAATGAAAATCAATTACTTAAATTTATATTTGTAGGAGATAACACAATCACTTATTTATTGAATAGATAAATATGAGTAAATAAAAAATCATAATGAACAAGAAAAATAGTAATATTAACAAAAAAAAATAATAAATTAAATAGAAATTCATCGCAACATTTTTGGAAGTTGAAGAATTATCAAAATAAAATAAGGCACTATCTATATTGTATGATATTAACAGTGGTATACATGAAATGTTGAAGAGAGAGATAATGTATAGATGGTAAAAATAAAAGTGATCTTATCTATAAAGTATTATTGATCTTTTCTTTTACTTTATGAAATCTTTCATTCGAAATAAAATACATCACAGAACTGAGCGAATCAAGTGTGAATGTGAGTGTAATAATTCAAATTCATATGTACACTCGATAAATATACTGAAATTGCTGAATACGCGTTGAATCTATGATAAAGATCCATGATTATTAGTTATGTATAACGTGATCACTGTCTGCAACACGGTTAGTCTAACCAATCGACTGATTTGCTTTATTATGAACTTTCGACAAATGATTATTAAGCTGCGTTCTTCTATCATTGAATATGAAAGATAGTGACTACTGATATCTTTTATTGCGTAATTATTATTTGAAAAATACTATTTGAAAGATCACTAATGAATTTAATGGACATCGGATAGACCGTAACATGGTAATATTATCGAAAGACAGAGGAATATACACAAATTTTTACCATTGTGGAATAGAAGTGATTAATTTCATTGGATTATAATGAGCTATAAAATAACAATACGTAAAGTCTTTCCTGTTTAGATTAACACGTGTGCACTGATGATTAGGGACCAGTACCTATATCGTTGTCATTGTATACCTTTAAACCTATATCTTGATGACTGCCTTTTTAACAATCCGCTTTTGACTAGATCTTCATATGTATGCTCTCAAACCTATACTTTAACGTTTCTCTACATTTACTTGATAAATTATTGAATGATATACGTTGAGCAACAATAATCAATCAAGTGATATGAGTCAATTCATTGTATTCTATTCTAAAATACAAGTGAAAATCTTTGACATCAATAAACGAGAATCGTTTAGCCAATAGTTTTTAGTGTGCGTGCACAATATCTTATGGTTTCACTCATATGTCGTTTACATGCACATCTGCTTCAACAAGTTGATGGCAAATTTTATGAAAAAATTGTAATTAAATATTCATAAAACTTGATTTCATGATAACGACTCAAGTATTCATAATGAAACTACATTGTATGACGAGATAAAAATGAATCTCGAATATTTTTCAGAATACACTGAAACTTTTCTACTGCGGTCATATCTTTTCGTTTTATTTGTTACCATTAGTTTCTTCAAATGCTAGTTATTGGTTCTTTTAGAACCAGCAGAGTCAGAAAATTCAATGAAGCAATTCAAAGAAAAGAATGATCAAAAGAATTTTTTAATTCAGAAAAAACTTATTTAAATTTATTAACTGTTGTCATCGGCAGCATCGCCGTAACGAATTACAATTATTTCTGCCAAGTCAGCAAATAAATTATGTTGTAGATCACTTTTAAAATTATGCAATTTTGAAGGTCTACTATTAGTATTTGAAACATTTAGTTTAGATTTTCGCGCTCTAATCTTTTTGAGTGGTATGCCATTGCATTTGCCACGCATGGTTTCATCCATATGTTTTTTTCGAGCAATAATATACAACATTATAATCCAAACACCTTCTAAGCCATTAAAGATAACAAAAAGTAATCCTAACACTTCACCAGCTTTCGGACCAACGATTGAAATAAATGGATCGAGAAGCCAACCAAGACCTTGCGTTACACAGGATGTTAATACTACAATTAAACATTGTTCTTTTTTCGAGTTTGCTTAGAACTACCTGTTTCAGTTTTGTTAACATGAGTAATTATACGTTTAGTAACCGAAATAATTAAACAAGTACTTGTTACAAGAAATGTACATATTGATATGGTGAAAAAATAAAGGATAACACTACGATTAAAATCAACAAATTTTACCTAAATATATTTCAGAATATTCATTAGATGCATTAGAGTTAAGACTAGCTGCAATAGCCATATATATTATACCAATAAGAAAAGAAATACTAATGGTAATAGAAAGATTTCGAAGTGATGGTGGGGGATTTAATTGGGCATAATGACGATAATTATTTATAACTAAAACTAGTTTTTAAACCAAACATGAAAATAATAAAGAAAAAAAAACAATAAACATTAAAGCATGTGCATTTGGTAAACATAGAATATGAGATAGAGATGAACTTCTAGATGAAGAATTAGTTTGCGAATTTTATTTAGTTTTGAATAAATTTATTTCAGAATAATGTTTATGAAAACTACGTCTTTAATTATCAGTAGCATTCAATTATGGAAATCTTGAATAAACTGTTAAACTAAATGCAATATAAAAAATAAAAAGTATCATAGTAACTAAACATGATATTAATGAAACTAATAATCTTAGTTGAATAAATTTCCGTGGATTCATAATTTGAATAACAATACCATGAATAATAATTACTAGGAAACAACTAATTGAAATAATTTGAAATGTAATTGATTCTTTATTTCGATCATTTAATTCTGTTTGTAGCGTATCTGGTGATTTTTTTGAATTGTTTAGTAACCAAATATATGGAAGCGACGGCAAAATTAGTAGAATATCAAACCTTTTTTAGCACTTTCCTGATAGCATACAGTTTTGTAACATGATTACTTTATTTTTACATCAATGTTCTAGCATAAATCTACTGTTTTCATGTTCGATTTGATAAAGAAATTATCGAAATGATGATCTTTCCTTATTTGAAACAATTAATATTAAATATACATTTTACAGAATGTTCGTGACAAACAAATCTGAACATTAACAACATTTATCTGAATTCTTTATCTCTAGAAAAATGGTAAATTGAACACCAATTTCGTTTAGGTCGAATACAGTTTTCATTTATTTTTTTCTCTACCACAGAATAGCCAATGACAGCTAACATGTTTTGAATATCGTTATGCAGATATATCGAGGTTCTTGAGCGAAAATTTAGCAGAGATTAAACGAAAAACAAAATTTCCACTGTATTTTCAAATTTGTAAGTATGGGTTAAAAAAAAGCCCCACTTAACACTACTAGGATTAAATAATAAAACTGGCTATCGTTGACATCTAGAAAGTAATCTTTCTATGGATTAAAGCTTTTTCATCATGATGTCTATAAGTATTTTTTACTCATTTTCAATTTTTAATATCAAAAAATTCTTATAAACATCGGAAATTTGTCAGATGTTATTGACAATCGCTGCATTTCGACTAATAATTGTAGCTATTATCGAGGTAACACAACATAAGTTGAGATAATTAGCGTACTTTCAGATGCCAAATAATAGGTTTTTGTTTCTTTTTATAGATTTGGCTTCATCTTGAAAACGTAACAAATAGTATAGACAACTAAACAGTCACATTTCACACAAATATAAGCTTATATATACCTATATGATTCCAGTATGTAATGAGTACACACGAATCTCAGCATAATCTGTAAACTAACCTTCTGAATTCTTAATCTAATCAATTGAGCTCGATTTATCTATGAAATAGCTCTGTTCAACGCATCTAATATTCATAGAGCGTTGATCAAGAAAATATCAAAGGAAAAGAAAATAAATCGATCAATAGCTTATGAAACAAAGAGTCTTACTCTGCGTATCGTTATTGACCATTGATAAATTAGCTGAAGCTCATTTCATTTTGTGCCTATCATTAATATATTCAATGAAATTTTTAAAAGTCATTTCTTTTGCGGTATTCCAATCATGATAATTATCCATAAATTCATAATAACCATATGAATATCCTGCCAATATATAAAGATCAAAGATTATTAAGCAAAAAACAAACAAACGTCTTCTAATAATATTCCTCATGGTAATTTTCTCTTTAAAGATGTATATATCTAAAAAAATATGATGTTTTACAAAATAATGAAAATACTGAACACATTGTACCACATGAAAAAGAAAAAGACTTATCGAAATCTTCGATGGTCACCAGGCACATATAGATAACATTTTATAATGCGAAGGTAAATATATATGTTTGAATGAATAAACTATGCTTTATCTCTAGAATTCTTGTACTACAAGAACATGTCGAAAAATGTAAAGCAACAGAGAACAACTAAACGAATACTCGATCTCTGATCTGAAAGTACTTGTGCTGTCAGAAATATTTACAAGAGTATGATTTTCATTTTATCTATTTAAAGAAAAGAAAAGGGAAGAGTGAGCAAAAAACAAATAGTATTTGTTATGACTTTTATGTAAAATTCCATTGCTGATTTTGAAAGTATGTTTACGCAAATGAGAAAAAACTAATTGAATCTTCTTCTTTTTCGAAATGAATGAAACAGAGTGAATACGGTGTGGAAGCTGGTATGAAATTCATTTCGGTGATTCTCATACCCTTCTTCATGTTCTACAATGTTAATCAAAAATACGAATTTGAGCAGCCGACTTAAAGCTTCACCTGTTTATCGGAAAGATATATAAGTGAAGTCAGCATCAGATTCTACTATTTCTTGTCCCTGTATTAGCTCCATAAGCGGTTGTGTTAAATGCAGAATTTAATTCTCTATCAAATAGTATTGGTATCCATGGGGATAATTGAATAAAAAAAGCTATCTTGTATGTGCTTCCGGACGTGAGTTTCCATAATGAGCTCGAGCGATACTACATGAAGATAATAGGTGTCGGTAAACTGAAGGATACACTTAAAGCAATACGTTAGTTTCCTATACCCAAATCGAGACGAGAAATACTCAAATTTCATGCTAAGTTTGCTTACGTATACTCTCGAAAAATTTAGATTTTAACCAGTCGAATATTCTGAAAATCATTTTCATTTACATCCCGACTTGAAATGATAAAAATAGTTCAAGAAAATTTACAATTAAGCAAGAATTTTTTTTTTGACATACTGCTGTTATATAAGTACTAAGTAAATTATTCAAGTATAAAACATTACTTATGTAAACAATACACATAAAATAATCTGCTAAAATATTTATATGATTCTATGCCAATTTGAGGATCGGGGTAAAGGCTAAAGCTATACCCACACCTACATTGTAAGAAATGCTTATGAAAGAGAAAATAGGAAATTTTTGGAAACACTATTTAAATTGTCTTAATGAATAAGTGTAAGTAGCAAAACATCGGGTACGGTATGTACATGAAATTTCTTTTTTACACTTTGCTTTTCTAATACTTTTATGGTTGTTTTATATTATATGTTTGAAAAGAAATTATATTTGGAACGATCATGAAGATGAAAATTATACATTGCACTTCCAATGAAATAATTGATAGAGACACTATAGTGAATCTGATATATTATTTGTCTGTATTTTACTATGTATACCTTTTGTTTAACATCGAACATCATCAAGAAATGATATTGAAATAATTTTCTCGAAGTCTGAAGAAAAATATCTATAATATGTCCCAAACTTCTAGAATTTTTATTACTGAAAATTTCAATTTTTAGCATTGGAAATCGAAAAAAAGAAACAAAACGTATCAATGTAAATGATCGAAATGTCTCAAATGGAAAAAGGTTACATTTAACTTTTATTTTAAATTTGTGTACATAAATGTGATTTGAAAATGTCTTATAATTGTTTTTTTCTTAATCTTTTTGGTTTCATTAAAGTAAAAACTCTAATAAGTATTCAATCTTAATATAAGACACAGTGTTCTAAAAAAAAAATCTAGCGTCCGCATACATTTTGTGTCAGATTGTCATTAAAAACGTTTCTCTATGGCAACTTTAATGCAACTAAAGTTCACCATTGAGGTCATTTCGTCTGCTTGACAAGAATGAAAAATTTGAATATATGTGACCGTTTCATTGAATAAATCGAGCTTTATTGATCGGTGTGAGCGACAATCGACTGTTCAACATCGTTTGTTTTTTCTTTGTTCTCTATTTCGTTACTCTTCATTGGTTTGCACGATGTGCGTTGTCATCTTACTTTTCCTTCTATATGATATATTCTTTAGTTTTCTCCTTTCTTCACTTTTCGTGCTTTTTGAGATTTTTTTTGTTTCAAAGAAGAATTTTCATTTCGTGCATTTATGAGGAAAGTAAATCTACTGTAGGCTTATAGGTTGAAAAGAAGAAATATCGAACAAATCGTATTTAAATTTTAGTGAAGTGAATCGACAAAGTAACCGATCCAACTTATAGATATACAAGTTTAAAAAATGTAGATACCTATTCCCTTTAATTTATCCGTCATTGGTGAAATATCGATTACGCTGATTTAAAAGCCATAAAGTGAGATCAGTAACTATAGTATGTTTCATTTTAAATGGTAAGTTTTTTCTACATTTCATGCAATTAAGAATATTAATTAATATGAATCTTCATTATATAAGCAGGTAGTTTACACATCTTTTTGCTCTGAATACTGTAGGAAAGTAGTATCCATAAATTTGAGACAACAGTATTGCTCGATTACGATTGTTAGCAATGTTGAAATAAGAAAAAATGAAAGACAAATTAAATTTCAATTTTCAAAAGTAAACATTGTTAATATCTTTTGTTTCTTCGTTCTCATAGTGTAAGACGAAGAAAGTCGAAAGTGTATATATGATTGAGAGTGTGCGATTGTATCATTTTTGTTATCTTATCTGTATCAATATGCGAGACTTTATTTTGTGAATTGAAGTTTGAAACTTGAAGACTACGCTTTTAATTTCATTCAAGTTTCAAGTTTGACAGTAAAAATTCGAATGAAATCTAAATCTGATTTCCTCACATTATCATAGATTTTTCTTTCGATCAGACATACATAGATAAATATTTACTCGGTTGATCGACTAAACGAAATTAATCATTCGTATAGCCTGATTTTTAATCTGAAAATCTTAATAATGGCGAATTTTCAAAATCAAAATGATTGCAATATTCGAATAGCAGCACAACGAAAAAAATTAATCATTTTAATATATATTTGCATGGTAGACATTTTTGAGTTTTGCTTTGAATTCAACCTACTTATTTGTATATATAGGGTGCAAGTATACTTGTGAGTGTTATGGATTTCAGTGTGACAATGGACCCGAAATCAATACGTTCAAGAATGAATGAATCAAAGAGTGAAATGATTGATCGAATCAGCGAAGAAATAGAAGAGAAACTATTTAAAAATAATTTCACAAGTGAGTCATTTTTTGTTTCCAAAAAATTATTGTTTTCACTTTGAATTGACGTCTTAATTTATTGTATAAATATAATAATGGTATAAGATCTGATTTATTTCCTATAAATCTAGATCACTAAATCACATAATCGCAGTTATATCGTAGTGATTTTTTTAAAATCTTAACTCTATTGAACATCTTGAATAATTTCTTTTTTTCAAATTAAAGAATATCTTTCATTTTACCAGTTTATGTTGATATCTTGCTGGACGTACTTATCCTTTATTTTGTAATCAAACGAGATCGTATTGGCATACTAATCGTATGTAAACATCTCCTAATCATTCTTAATGCGAATTCTCTTCTGTTAGTTTGCATGGTTCAAACTCGCTTGGCTTATTGGATTTATTGCTGTGGTGTCTTTAGCGATCGCTTTTTATCATGAAATAATAAAAACCGGCCGTAATGGCAATACTGGTGTATCAACAAGTTCAAGCCTGATTGAAATAGCGACGTCCATTGTTAACTTCATTGCTTTCGTTGTTGGGGTATGAAAAGTTTTCATTCTTTGTTTTAGTCACATGCAAAATGTCTTTTTTTTAGGTGGTCAAAATCATTTTTATGTTTAAATTATCCAAATTATTGAAAAGACAAAATCATCAAGATATGCATGAAGAACCTCCAAAAGTTTAAGTGGCATTCTTCAACTTCATATATCAAATCGTTTCATTTAATATACTAGGTTGAAAATAATATTTTGCCAGGGGGGTACTGCTATAATTTCAAATAGAAGACATAATGAATTTTATATCAAATGAAAGCCCGTCGAAAATGGAGTTTATTGATACTAAATAGTAAGAGTTATGAAAACATTTTAATATCGAACTTAAGAAACTTTCAGAAATTTTATACTTTTTTTGTGGTGGAAAAGTAAGGTGCCAGTAATTCAAAAATGAATTAAAATGTTTTTCTTCAATACTTTTACATGGTTCGATAGAGCTCGTCGGGCTCTACAAAACTGTATATATGAAAAAAATTTTAAATAGAGTTGTTGGGTAAAAATCACTGAAAACTATC